TATTATAGATATTATATAGTAGTATTACTTTGGAAGTTTCAAGTACCCACGAATAATATTATACAATCACAACAAAATAACTAAAATAGTTATTCTAGGTTTTTATTATGTAATTTCGTCCAAATTTGAATTTAAAATGTCTGTAAAAAACAACTGTGTTCATATATTTTTTTAGATTTTTTGGTTACAGTATGAACTATTTATGAGAACCTCTGTTTTAAATTTACAATCCTTAGCTATAAAAACTGAACATTTTATAATTTATTAATTACATTGATTGATAATTTTCGAGATTTTGATAAATTTTGTCAAAATTCGATCTTTAAATGCTTATAAAAAAAATTGTGCCTATGAATTTTTAATATTTTTCAATTGCTATTGTAACAATATATCATTAGCCTTGTATTAAATTTTTACACTTTTTGGCCCAACAGATAAAACTTTATTGATATTTATAGAGAAAAAAAACTAAAAAAATTGAAAACTGAAAATGTCCGTAAACAGCTCAAAAAGAGTCAAAATATTTTCAAAATTGTACAGTGTATAGGAAATACTAATCTGAACATTCAGTGAAATTTTCATGTATCTACAGTTATTCGTTTTTGAATTACAACAAAATAAGGAAATCGCTACATGAGAAATCGAATGAATATAAAATGTTGTAAAAATTTGAATTTCAAACGCTCATAAAAATTTAATTTTACTTTCTTATTGACCTTTTTTTTTTGATAAAGGTAGACAAACTTATGAGTAATCTTTTATTACATTTTCAAATCTTATATTTAAAAAGAAAAATTTTTACGAATTCTTAACTCAAAATTAACTCAAAATAATTTGCTAATTTTTGTGATTTTTCCATATTTCGTCAATTTTTGAACTTTAAATGCTTATAATAAAAATTGTGACGAAGGATTTTTAATATGTTTCATCTGCCTTTGAAACAATATACTAGGAGCCTTCTATTAAACTTTCAAGCTTTTTTAGCCAACAAATAACATTTATTGATATTTATATAAAAAAAAAATAAAAAATAGAAACTGAAAATGTTAATAAACAGTTCAAAACAAATCATAATATTTTAAAAATGTTATCGTGTATAGAAAATGCAAATATAAATAACCAGTGAAAATTTTATGTGTATACGTTCATTTGTTTTAGAGTTACACCAAAAACCAAAATCGATTTTTTGGAAAACAAATTTTGCGTAAAAATTAACGTTATTCCTTAGTTATTATGTGTTTAATCCCGGCGCTTGTGAAAACTCTTGGGAATTTTAAAATTTGACCTCCCGAATGCACCAACTAGATTCACTTTCCAATCGAACAAGATACTGAAGTTGAAAATCGAATCATTATTTCGACTACTTATCGTGTACACAGACACAAAAAAAAAATAAAAAAAAACACATATCATTGTAAAATAAAATCAATACATTCATTGTTCCACTCAAAATCTAAAAATATAGCATTTTAAGTTTGAGGACATTTTGCATCTAACAGTATGAACACACAGGTCTTCATAGGACAGGAAGCGCGCTCTGGTGACTATAGAACTGTGGTAATATTTTCAATCAAGAGTGTATATACGTATAAGGGGTCCAGAGTGACGACTCTTTATTAATACACCTTAGGTGAGGCTTACGTTTGACTCCCTAATAAATATGTTGTCATAAACCTTAACTTTCTTTCATTTTTTAAAAATATATTTTATATTTCAAATAATACATCAAATATAAAATATAAAACATTTAAAACAAATTTATTGCAAAAAAAATATTACTTCTCGTTTAACCATCGGAGGCTATAGGACTGAAATTTTTCATTAGAACCAAATACCAAATTATAGACAACTTAAATGTCCGTAAGTAAACTAGTTATTTTTTGTTATAGAATTTATAATATGTCGAGTAATCAGACGCTGAGTACAACTATAATTAGAGCTCGGAAGTTGTATTTTTTTAATTTCTCTATAATATGCTTTCGATTCATAGCAGAACAGGCTAGAAATCGTTCGTAGGTATATACAAATATACAATAACAAATGAATCATTATTAATTATTATCGTTCGAAAAAGATACCGTAAAGACATTTGACTTTGATTTAGTGATTGTCGATTTTTCTGTGATCAAATCCAGAAATACCTATACAGTTTTCAATGTTAATACAAATTTTTTATAAAAATAAAAACTTATTACAATATATTTTTAAGGATTTGTTTCCTATAAATTTTTATTCTGGTATAACGATTTTTCTATCATAAACCAAAGGTTCATAATTGTTTTAGATTCTGAGTAGAACAATGTATGTATTGATTTTACAAATTACAATGATGTGTGTTTTTATTTTTATTTTTTTGTGTCTGTCATCACCTTTTAGGACAGTAAAAGTGCTTGGATTTTCTTTAATAGTATCATTTCGGTTAGGAAAGTGAATCTAGTTGATACTTTAGGGGGTCAAAAGAAAAATTCAGGAAAAACCGGAATTTTTACGCAAATTAGATTTTTTACTAAATCAATTTTGGTTTAACTCTAAAACAAATGATCGTAGATACATGAAATTTTACTAAATGTTTATAGGTATTAGCATTTTCTATACACCATATTATTTTGACTTATTTTGAGCTGTTTACAGACATTATTTTTATTTTTTTATTTTTTTTTATATAAATATCAATGAATGTTATTTGTTGCCTTGTTGGTTAAAAAAGCTTGAAAGTTTAATAGAAGGCTCCTAGTATATTGTTTCAAAGACATGAAAAAAATTAAAAATCCAAAAGCACAATTTTTTTTATAAGCGCTTAAAGTTCGAATTTTGACAAAATTTATCAAATTTAAAATGTAATAATTAATTTATAGTTAAAATGTATAAAATGTTCAACTTTTATAGCTACGGCTTGAAAATTTTAGAGATAAAAATGCCGGAAAAATTCGGAAAAAACCCGTTTTTTTTCTAGAGCCTCGGAAAACATGGAATAATTGGAGAATATTAAAATAATACATTTCAGAAAAAAACCGAAGTTTTCGGAAAATTAAAAATTGTATTTACACTTAAAAATTAAAAATATAATCTATGTAAAAACCATTTCAAAAATAGATAAGGAAACCTATCATTGTCATTTCACATTTGCCAATACGGTTATATCAATGTATTATTGCATTAAAATTTAAAATTAAACTATTTAAAATAATAATACGGATATTTTAAAATTTGTTCTAAAAATAACGTAGTTACATATCAAATTGGTATTTATGTGGGAGAGTGTATTTTCCCGAAAATAAATCCCCTGTATTTTAAAATGTAATATAATTAATATTATTACTTATAAGTTGTAGATAAAATATATATAGATTGATAATAATGAGTAATGACAATATTACCTAATTAATAATTATTTTACGGACATTGTCAATTTTCAAATTTTTTAAATTTTTTTTATCTCCCCTAAATATCAATAAAATTTTATTTGTTAGGTAAAAAAACGTGAAAAATTATCACGTTTAAAATTTAATAATAATTTTGTAGTTAAAAATTTATAAAATGTTCAACTTTTATAGTTAAGGATTGAAAATTTAGAACAACATTCCACGTAAATATAGGTTATATATAAATTACTTTATTCACCTTAATATCATCAAATATACTTTTTAATATCATTGGCTGACTGACCGTTTTCAATATTATATCATTGAATTCAAATTTAACACCATCCATTACAGTGACCCACTTGTAACCTACTGTACAGCAGAGCGACACCCACTTGCCCACCCTTTTTATTTTTATATATTTAATAATTATTATATGATATTAATTTATTACATCAGGAGCCTCTCATTTTTACTCAACAAATACAATTTTATTGATATTTATGGAAAAAAAAATTAAATAAATAGAAAGCTGACAATGTCCGTAAAAAGCTCAAAAAAAGTCAAAAAATTTTCAAAATTTTATGGTGTATAGGAAATGAAAATATAAACATTCAGTGTTATTTTCATGTATCTACAGTTATTCGTTTTTGAATAAAAATAAAATAACAAAACCACCACATGAGAAATCGAGTGAATATCCAATATTGCAAAATATGAATTTCAAACGCTTATAAAAATTTAATTTGATTTCCTTGTAAACATTTTTTTGTTTTTTTATGAAGGTAGACAAACTTATGAGGAATCTTGTATTATATTTTCAAATCTTAAATTTAAAAAGAAACATTTTTATGAATTCTCAACTCAAAATAAATTGCTAATTTTAGTGATTTTTTAGTATTTTGTCAAGATTTGAACTTTAAATGCTTATAAGTAAAAACTGTGACTAAGGTTTTTAATATTTTTCAAATGTCTTTGTAACAATATAGTAGGAGCCTTGCATTAAATTTTCAAGCTTTTTTACCCAACAATATTAAAGTTTTATTGACATTCATAAAAAAAGAATAATAAAATTGGAAACTGAAAATGTTCCTAAGCAGTTCAAAACATATCAAATATTTTGAAAATTTTAACGTTTATAGAAAATGTAAATATAAACGACCAGTGAAAATGCCATGTATATACGTCCTGTATATGTCATGTATACGTTCTTTTGTTTTAGAGTTACACCAAAAACCAAAATCGATTTTGTAGAAAACTGATTTTGAGTAAAAATTCCCGTTTTTCCTTTATTTTTAAATGTTGACCTCCCCAATGCACCAACAATATTCACTTTCCAATCGAACAAGATACTGAAGTTGAAAATCGAAGCATTATTTCGACTACTTATCGTGTACACAGAAACAAAAAAAAAAAAAAACACACATCATTGTAAAATCAATACATTCATCGTTCCACTCAGAATCTAAAATATGTTTGCAATATATAAAGCAGTCAAGCACAATAAGTGAATAACTGAAATTATATTTATTATTAATTCACTGATACATTTCACACCACAAAGGTAACATTTGATAATTCAATAAATATTAGCCAATATTTCGGTTCAAAATAAAATAAGATGGCGACTGTATCGTCATGCTTCAAAGAGAAAAATTGGTTATGGTATTTAGATTATTATTGTAGTTATGTCCTATTTTACCGAAATAACTTTTGAGATATTTATTTAACAAGCTAGAAAAAAAGTTAAAATATTCAACGAATTACTGTTTTACGTAGAATTCAAAGAAAATCAATGTCAAAGGTTCCGAGATAAGCTACATTCAAGTTGGAAATGGCCCACATAAATTGTTGATATTTTCTGGAGTACTGGGTAAGTCTATAATTACATATTATTTATTGCTATAATTATCTTAATTCTTAGTCGTACTCGATACTTTATTTACTAATGGTTTTACTATTATACCTCAGGGCGTTTGCCCATATCGAATTTCTTCACTGTAATATTATAATACATTTATTTCTCTAGGTCTAATTAGTGATTTTGCTTCGCTGACGAATAACCTCGATGGTGAAAAATATACGATAATATACATGTGTGATCGTACAGGTAACAGTTTGGTCTGTTTGAATCGACCACCGAACAGAGATTTTTCACCAGGATTTTTTTACCTTGACGCCGATTACGGAATTGCGCTTATGGAGGTAAAATATTATAGAAGTATCATAGACATACTTGTAAGTCTATGAGAAGTATAAACAGCAACCAGTCGCTTAGTTGTGTGACGATTATACGATTTTCAACTTTAAAAGAAGTTTTCTTTATAGAAAATTGAATCAAGTTTGTACTTTTTGAGGTAATTTATGAAAATTCAAAGAACTTTCCTTATGATAACAAAAATTAAAGTAAAACTAATTTTTTTGAAGCAAAACTAGTTATGTTAACTGTTATCTGTTTACTGATGTAAGTCAAAATCTAATAACCGTAGACTCATTAAATGATCAATTGTTAACTCTAGAGTGTAGACATGATTCTAAAAAATATTTTGATTCATTTTGAGCTATTTATAGACTTTTCCAATTATTATTATAGTTTATCAACGATTAAAAAAATTGTATGTACAAAAACTTAACAATTTACTACTAAATTCCTCATGAGTTATCAAAGTATTTTGTAGTTCAAAATTTATAAAATATTCGATTTGTATAGCTATGAGGATAGAACATTTCGAACAAGTGTTCGTAAGCCATTCATACAAAATAACATATAGATAATAACTGTTTTTTTTTTTTTTTATTGATATTTTATATATTAAATTGAATTTATAATATCACTATTTATTACGTCCACCCCTCCACACAAAAAAAAATCCAAAATCGTATCTACACGCCACTGACAACAACCGCCATCGTAAACAATGGTAACGACAAACAGTGATCGTTTTTTTCTCCAATTCTGCCGCAGACGTTGGGTATCGACAGGTATTCAATGTTGGGATGGTGCTACGGCGGGCGCGCAGCGATGATCGCAGCTTCCAGGGCCGCAGGTCGGGTCGACAAATTGGTTGTGTGGGGCTCCAGCGCTTACTTCACGGCCAAAGTCCTCGAAGGCTACGAGAAGATACGCGAAATCCACAGCTGGTCCGAAGCTACTAGACTTCCACGATTAGAAATTTACTGCGAGGAGTACATGTCGAACACTTGGTCCGGAATGATAGACGCTTACTGGAAAATTCTCAAGGATGACGACGGTGACGTGTGCCGCGACGTACTGGCCAAGATAAACACGCCCACGCTCATTCTGCACGGAGCAAAGGATGTGATCGTACCGGTCGAGCATGGTGTATATCTGCACGAAAACATAAATCAGTCGACGTGAGTGTATATATATATAATATTATAATGTGACATGTTACAATGTGACTACCTTATATTCATACGTACGATTAATTATATACATGCGTATTGTTGTATATGATATTATAAAAGAGTCTGGTGTTTGTGAATGTCCCAAAATAAATTCAAAACAGGGCCCTATGGCATCAGTTTGGCCTATACCACTGTCCATCACTAATTCAATTAGTTGTAAATTTAGTTCAGGTACTAAAGTTGTAACTTACTAGGCAAAATATACAGTTTGTACTATAATTAATAATCATTTAATTTGTATTTTTAACAAGTTTGCACATTGATATCCCATTGTTAAAGCTTATACATATTTTAAATTATAACTATTGCGATAACTTATAGAATAATATAGTATAGTGTTACTAAAAAAGAATTCACTAGTCACCATTACTTAGACAAAATTCAAATATTTAAGATATTATGTATTGATTAACTAAAAGGTTAATATAAGCCTAGGATTATGCTCCTGAAATATAACTTCAATTCATTAATATTCCCTATTACAAATACAATCTTGACCAAGATAATATTATAATAGTTATTTAAATATCATAATACAATAAATTATAATGTACAGTGTACAAACGAAGGTATTACAGACTCGAGAATGTTTACATGAACACGTCATTTACTACTTACGTGAACCGGGAGATCATAGCCCAGATTTTTGGAAAGTAGAGATTTGAAATTTTAGCTATTCTCAGACTATATTTTTTTTTTTTTTTTTATTTAAATAGTTTTTCTTTAAATTTACAATTTATAGTATAAATAAAGAAAATATATCTACTCCTTTAAGCCTAAGCTTAAATTATATGTAATCATTGATTTATTATATATTTTATATAAGAAATTTAAGCCAAATGAGGTTGGGTTAGTTCATAAGCGTGCGCAGGGGGTAGTCATGGTAGGCAATTGACTACTCTGCTAACTCCCTCGGCCGCACTCAATATTCAATATTATTATTACGATAATTGATGGTCAAACATAAAATACTTTTTTACTATGGTAAATGTAGTTAAATGAGGTTAATCCATCCAAATTAGTTTTTATGACTTAGGTGTGAATATGAATATATATACGTAATATGTGTGTGTTATGTACTTTGAATTTCTGTGCACGCTTATGGGGGTTACATCATCATCACTAGCTCCATGACCTCCATTCGGCCCTGTGGGAGAGTTTAGATGTACCCATCAGGTAGTATTGAAGTAGTCTCGGGAGAATTAACCATCACAAAAGACAAGAGTTTCAGGTTATTAAAATCGGGAGAGTGTACAATCACCTAGGTAATCAAAAAATATTTCCTATTGCAAATGCAGCCCCGAGTCCATGACAATATAGATTTATTAAATTAGGCAGTAACGGATTCAGGGGAGAGACACTTAGCTACGAGTATCATATAAATTAAAAATTAATTGAATAAGAATAATACTGTCAACTATTAATTATTATTTATTATAACAAGATTATAACCTAAACCATTATTGTTTAAAAATAATAGTATGCAATATGTAAATATTATTAATTAAAATTAAAATTATACAATTTAAATGTTCACCTCCTATCAAAATAACGAAGATCCACCCCTCCAGTATTAGGTATATTATATACTGTACCTACGTCTGTCTACCTATTAACATGGCAACAATTTTCTGATGATAAATTTTGTATTTTGTATTGCAGACTTGAAATATTTCCAGAAGGAGGACATATCATGCATTTGAAGTACCCTGAAAAATTTGCTTCGATAGTGGATAACTTTCTTTCTTCTATGCAGTAGTGCATATTGAACCACAATCAATTGCCATACATTTATAAGCTACTAGCTGATCCCGTACACTTCGTTGCCCATTAGATGTATCAACTCTATATGACTCAAACTTTGTTCGATTCGTTATTTAATATTCGTTGTATATGGTGTTCAAAATTTATCTTAACTTTTCCGTTGGCCGGAATAAAATTTCTGATTCGCAACAGTACATTATCAGGTAGGCATCTACCTGCGGTAGATCGTGGACCCCGTGCTGTTTGTACATAAGTGTATGATTTAACTCTAAAGTATCAAAGTTATACCAAGTAGTTTTTTTTTTATTATTATTATTATTATTATTATATAGCTTAAAAACCCATCATTGCTTATAGACGCATAATAATAATACTGATTGAATATGAATATGTATAATAAGAAATAGTTGATGTATTATATAATAAATAGTTTGTTTGTTTTTGTGGCAACTAATTAAAACGATTCACGATAATATTTGTTAAGATGCATCAACATTTTTTTCAAAACAAACTTTTGCAATAATTGCACACCACCTACTTTGAACACCACGAGCCGCCACTGATATAAATACATAATACTGTACTTTAGAAGTTTCAAGTACCCATGAATAATATTATACAATCACAACAAAAAAACTAAAATAGTTGTTCTAGGTTTTTTATTATGTAATTTCGTCCAAATTTGAACTTAAAATGACTATAAAAATAAACTGTGCTTATGTATTTTTTAGATTTTTTGGTAACAGAATTAACTATATATGTGGAATCTTGTTTTAAATTTTCAATCCTTAGATATAAAAGTTGAACATTTTATACATTTTTAACTACAAAATAATTATTCAATTTTAAATTTGATAAATTTTGTCAAAATTCGATCTTTAAATGCTTATAAAAAAAATTGTAGCATACGATAGGCCATAATTAATTGTGCTTATCATACGGAAACGAACAAGAAATATTTTGAGGTCATACCTATTTATATTCTATGATTACCTATTGTAAAATGTGGTACATAATTTACACAGACTTCTATACTACAGTAGATAACTTCTACATATTATGTTATGTACGTCATAGTACATTGTAAAAATGAAGCTGATAAACCTTGGTCGGATAGCAAAACATTTCATTTATTATACAAAATCCATATCCATTATACCATAGAATATTAGAATACTTTATAATATTCTATGTTATACCATAGAGCATAGACCTATAAACTAATGGACAGCGCATAGAGTGTGAAATCATCAGAGGGGATTGTTGAGAGACCAAAAACAGGTTTTGGGCACATTATACGATTACAACAAAATAACTAAAATCGTAATTCTTGGTTTAAATATGACATTTTGTCTAAATTTGAAATTAAAATGTCTGTAAAAAATAAGTGTGTTTATATATTTTTTAGATTTTTTGGTTACAGTATGAATTATTTAAGAGAATCTTTGTTTTAAATTTTCAACTCTTAGTTATAAAAACTGAACATTTTATAATTTTTTAATTCCAACGATTGATAATTTTCGAGATTTGATAAATTTTGTCAAAATTCCAACTTTAAATGCTTATAAAAAAAAATCGTGCCTATGTATTTTTAATATTTTTCAACTGATATTGTAACAATATATCAGGAGCCTTGTAAAGAGGGGGATATGCATTTTTTTCTATTCTCATGCCACTTTCTATAGCTGTATGTAATAAATATACTTTCATTAATTAGTATTAATATAGTAGGTAGGTACCTACTCGTACTTTTCGGTTATCGCGGCTACCAACCATACTAAAGTTTTATCAGTTCCAAATATCCATAATAAATAATAATTATTATATCACCACGGCTCCATCGCACTTCGCTTCGACCGTTATAAACTAAATCGAGTACCTACTCTTCTAAGATTTTTTCGATTTAGGCCCTTCTAAAACGTACTCCCAGAATCGGGGGTCCTCGAATCCCCCCCTAGGAGTATTTTGGAAAAGGTTTAGTTTTTGTACGACGTTTCTGAAACTCGAGATTTGTATAGTTTGGAAGTCGGCTATTAAATTCAGCGTCATGTATCGAGACCATAATAGCCGTTTTACTCCGTCTTTTGGGCTTCGAAATTTTAAAATTTGCGTTTTCCGGGGTTTTCGGTACGAACACTTAGATTTTGGGAGCGGCTAGCCGTTTAGGTTGTCGGACGTTATACAGGACTTTGCGCCGTATCGATGGGTGCTGAGATCGAGGTTATCCGACTTTTGGTCCGCTAGTTATGATTTTTTGAGTGTTTTTTGTACTTGGAAAATTACGTAATTACGTGAATTTTGGATTTTGGGTGTTTTTTTTATCACTACAAAACTCGAGATTCTGTTCTTTTGGTGTACGAGAATTCAAAAATGCTCTAAGGTTGAAGAACGTACGACCATTATTTCGCCCGTAATCGGAGAAGCAAACAGTTGAAAAACGCAATATGTGATTATTCGTATAACCATGCAGACGTTTCCATAAGGTATACATAAAGTCTGTTTAATGTTTTAAGTAATAATTATTTTTAACTTTTTTTTCGCATTTATTTTAGTCGGCGTGTAGCTCATAATTTATTAATGTAAATCGATATGTATATAAGAATAAAATATTAAAACCTATAAAATAATAGGTCAATTCAAGTAGTATGATTTGGGGGGTTCTGACCGCTGCACCGCTGCACCGCTGCACTCCACTCCCTCCACACCCTCCACTCCCTCCACACCCTCCACTCCCTCCACACCCTCGCTTATCGGCCACGTGCGCGAGGTATATTTTGGCCTTATCAGTAACCACTCCTTATCAGTAACCATTTCTTATCAGTAACCACTCCTTATCAGTAACCACTACTTACCACTGATAACAGTTATCGGCCACGCGCGCGAAGTATATTTTGGCCTTATCAGTAACCTAATCAGTAACACAGAACAAACAGAAGGGAATCTTAAGGCTCATCGAAAAACCGTCCGACATTTCTAAATTTTAAACGTGCTGCCACGTACCGAGAAATTCCCTTTTTTTTTTAAGTTTTCTGTGGTTTGTGGCTACACTGTTAATCTGCAATTCCACTCATAAATGATAGTGATAAATAAAATATGTATAGTTTTTGTTTTTCTTAGATTCTGTACTTAGATAAATGATAGAAATGCAATTTCTTAAAAAAAATCGGTTTGATTGTTTGAATATAATAATATATTAGAAATTTGAACGAATAAACAGTGCTGCACAATATAAAGAAAAAAGAGAAATTCCCGGTACGTGGCAGCACGTTTAAATTTTAGAAATGTCGGACGTGGTTTTATCATCTCCCATAAGAGCCTATGTTAAATGAAATAAGATTCCCTTCTGTTTGTTCTGTGTCAGTAACCACTACTTACCACTGATAACGATTGTTGGACAGGTGCCGCGAGACGTATACCTAATAGTGATAACGATTATCAACAACCGTCAAATTATCAGCAGCTGTCACCGCCACCAGAAATATCTACAACATAACGTAATTGTAACTACAGTGTAGATTATTACGATTTTATCGAAATTCATGAAATAAACGTATATTGTTAAATATCAGAAATATATACCGTATACCACTATTGTTACTACGGTGTAGGTATTTTTAAAAATGTCAAAAATGTCGAAATTCACGAAATAAACATAAATTGTTAAATATCAGAAATATATACTGTATATCACTATTTGATGTATGGTGTAGGTTTTTTTGAAACGTTCAAATTCACTAAATAAACCTATATTATTGAATATGAGAAATATCTACTGCACGTGAATGTGAAACGGACACTTATAGGCTCCGCAAGAGTCGGCATTCAGTCAGTCTGTCTTCAAGTGTACACATGTACGATTCTCCTCCGCGTTTATCCAAGTCTTTATAATAGTGGTTCAGTGTTTAAAATTTTTCCAAGTCTTTATTATTTTTATAATAAACAATTTTTAAAAACATGGCTGGTTCAATCGAAGACAACGCTGCATTATACAAGAAAAAGACCTTTACGTATGTACCACCATCACCACCGGCTGAACTCATCGAAACCACAAGCTACACGATCAACTTTGCAGCTCGCAAATTTATACTTGTCGGTATCGATCCTACTGATAATTTTCAAGTCACCGTTCATTTATTAACACCATCGCGCCATGTTAAAATATCGCCGGATTTCCTGAGACGTATATTCTCTATGATGGGACATATCTTATCATTTATATTAGATACGGTCCAGAAGTACAAGCGCATCATATTTCTTGAGACTGAATTTCATAAAATATCCAGTATGGTGTATTGTGGAGAAAACGTGCTAGTAATAGAGTCAAAAACTCAGGACGGGTGCAGAGTACTGTTAAATCGGAAGGACTTTATGCAGCTTCAATATCTTGAATGTAGTATTTTCGAAAGTATTGTACGGAAAGAAGTAACCACTGCTCCAGTAATTAAAAGACAGTTTGACGATTTTGCGATGTATCTACATGAGAAATCTGCTTGCCTTAAATCACCACCGAAAAATTTAGAAGATATGTTAATATTCGTTAAAAAAATACAAGACGATAGAACGGAGAAAATTTACCCAAACATGATCGGTCAAATACAAATGTATGCAACCGTACAACTAGCTGAAACTGTGTTACAACAGTTGACACATGAGGTAATTCATAAATACAGTAGTACATGTAAAAAAAAATATTTAATACAACTTTTTTATTTTAGTTACAGAATGGTGAAATAGATACACCAACGTCGTCAAGCTATTCGCCGGTCAGCAATATATTAAGCATGCACGACGATTCATCTGCACGTGATGGATTTAATCAGCCTAAGGATGATATTTTAGCTAAGGTAATTTATATAAACATAGTTTTAAAAATAAAAACACAATATTTATTTTATATTTATTTTTTCCAGGCACTATATCATATTGACGGATCTGACGAGGGTCGCAACCCGCAGGCGTGCGACGTAAACGATGGGCCTGATTTTTTCTACCAAT